CGGCCCTGCACGCCAGGCACTGGGTCCCTCTGACCCCGAGAGCCACCGAGCGCCGGCCAGGCCAGGCCTCGGCTCCAGCTTGCCCTTGCCCACGCGTGCACACACCTGTGCCACCGGGCAGCTGCATGGCCACGCAGTCTCGCAAAATGTTTTGCACGCATGACCCTCCCCCGTGCAGCTGGACACACAGGGCCTTGCTGCCTCCTGTCTGCACACAATCCCCACTGCCTCCTGTCTGCACACAATCCCCACGCGAGTGGTGTCAGCCGACCTGCTCCCTCTGGCACCTCTCGTCCCTCCGTGTGCTGGCCACACGCGCGTCAGACTCTTGTGCACATCCGTAAGGTGCCTGTCCCCATGCAGCGCGACCGTGACCCCTCGTCACTGCAGGGCCCTGACCCGTCTCTCCCACTCCACCGCCCTGGGACAGTTGTGACAAACGGACACCCTGCCCATGCCACCTCCCGAAGACACCCCGCTGCAAGCAGGTCCCGGGGAGCACGTCCCTGCCCTGGCGGAGGCAGTCTCACCCTGATGCAGCCCTGGCCTCAGTTTTCACTGGGGACATGGCTGACCCAGTGTCACTCAGGTTTCTGAGTCGGTGTCGCCCTGGCCGCGAGAATGGCTGTGAGGTGCTGGAGGGACAGCTTGCAGGAGGAGGGCGGTGCCCTCCCTGTCCGAGGTCACACCCATAGGGACCAGGAACTCGGAGGTGGCCCTCGGTGGCCTCGTCCCTCCTTCCTCTGGAGTAGTCTGAGCCACTCCCGTCCCCTGGTGGTTGTGTCCGAGTTGCTGAGGGGAAGCTGGTGGCCATGAGACCCTGCCCAGAAGGCCGCGTCCTCACTGCCCGCTGACCCCAGTCCAGCCCACCCTCGCGGACTCACTGAAGCCACGTGGTCACAGCGGCGCATTCTTTGGCCTCTGTGGCTCCGACCCTGTCTCTGTGACAGGAGGCTCGTCCTCGAGACACCTGTACCTGTACGAGGCTGTGTCCCCACCCGGGTACTGGATGCCTAGGGAGGTAAACAGCCTCCGTGCAGGCGTGCTGGGCCCCTTGGCCTGCTGTCCCTGCAGGGCGGCGAGCCACGACCCTCGGGACGCGAGGGCACGTGCCGTGCGATTTTCAGACAGATGCACGTGACGGGGTCATTGCGAGCGACGTGGGTGCCAGATGTGCTGGGGTCTGAGGGGGCAGCAGCCACGTCAGCACAGAGCTTGGGCAGTGACCGGAGTTCTGGGTGCTGCCCCTAAAGGCTCACCTCGAGTACCCTGCACAGGGACCCTGGCTCACGGCGGCAGCTGGGCCAGGGCGGCTCTTACACCTGTATGAAGGTCCCGTGCCACAGGCCCTGGACAAGCAGGCCCGCACTGCCCACTGTCCTCCTGCCTCCCCCGCTGTCCCCAGAGAGGAGCAGGAGGGCCCACGGGGGGCAGGCCCGCCACCGTGTGCGTCCACCCGGAAGAGACATGGCAGTTCCTGCGTGTCGCTCGGTGCTAGGAGAGCTGCACGCAGTGTCTGCCAGGCGCGGTCTCCGGTGGGTGGGCCTGTGCCCCTCGCAGTTCCCCTGCCCTGCGTTCAGGCGGGGAGCGTGCTGCGGCCCGCATCCTCCTACCTGGAACTTCCGTAGGGGTCGCTGGGAATCGCCCGGGGACGGCAGGGCCAGGCTGGACAGAGGCCGCACTCTGCTTTCCCCTGGACGTGGGGCTGCTGGAGCTCTGCCGTCTCGCGGTGGGGCGTCTGCTCATGGGAACCTGTCCTGTCGTGACCTCCCCGTCACTCTGGCTTTACCCGTATCCTCAGTCACTTCTTTCTTTCAATTGCCAGAGAGCGCATATGCTCACCAGAGACAGAGACAGAGAGATAAGAGAGGAAGGAGCACCCGAGGGAGGCCCTTCCATTTCTACATCCTGTCGGGATTTAGAGCATGCTCCACATGCACCTGGCACATTTTTCTTTTATTTTTCTTTTTTTATTATTACTATTATTATCGTTATTATTACTGTTATTATTATTATTTTAAACTTTGCCATAGGGCGTGTGTACTTACCAGAGAGGGAAAGTGAAAAAGCAAGCGTCCAGGTCTGGGACTTGAACCCCGTCGGCCCTGTGGGAGTCCAGCACCTTAGCCACCACGCCATCTGTAGGCCCTGCACCTGGCCCGTTTTCTGAGCTCCCGGGTCAGTATTTGAACTGCAGTCGGCCCTGTGGGACCCAGCTCCCTTAACCACTAAGCTCATTTCTTTTTAATGTTTAACTTAACTGATTTGTGTAAGCTACAAACTAAAAACACTGAAACCTTTTAGAAAGACATTGTTTGCCGTGCAGATAAAGCTCCCGTGGGGCCCCTCTGAGGGATGCAGCACGCAGCTAGCACGGGCAGAGGGAGCGGGTCCCCATCTCCCTGCAGACCCGGCTTCCTACGGTTCAGCCCCCAGCCCCATGGCTCGGAACACTCCCCAGGCCTGTGTGCGCATGTGCTGAGAGCCATGATGGGAGGGAGATGGAGGGAGGCGCGTAACCACCCCCACCGGGGCTCTCTCTCTGTCTCTGTCTCTCCCTGGTGAGAGCACCATGTCAGAAGGAAGAAACGTGGGCTGGCGGCTCTGGTGTGGATCACCACAGTCAGCCAAACGGTCGGCGCCCACGGCACGGGTTTCGGCTTTGGAGGCCAGCTCAGGACAGCCCCCATGGGAGCCCACGCCTTAGGGCACTTCTGTCCTCACCCCTGCTCCCTTCTGCACCCTGTGCTCCTGCGGCTCCTGCCAGGGCACCCCTTTGCGGCCCGCACGCCCCAAGTCCTGTCCTCAGGGGGCTCTGGCTCCTAGGGGTACAGTGGGGGGACACCCCAGGGGGGGACAGGTTGACCCAGGAGTGGGGGGCGGATGGGGAGGGGGTCAGGTTGAACGGAGGCCACCTCTCTCACAGGGCCTTGGGCATCTCTGTGACGGACTACACATTCGAGGACTGCCAGCTGGCCCTGGCAGAAGGACAGCTCCGCCTCCCGGCCGACACTTGCCTGCTAGAATTCGCCAGGCTCGTGCGGGGCCTCGGGTGAGCCCCTTGTCTCGTCCTTCCTGAGGCCCGTGGCCCCACATCACGGGCGGCTAAGGAGGTGGCATCGCTGTGGCATCGCTCCTGGGCTTTGTCTCTTCACAGAGGTGCTCAGACCCTCAGGCTTGTCTTCACTGTCCTACGTGGCCCTGCCCCGGGCACCAGCCCCGCACCCTCGGCTCTGGGCGGCCAGGCTGTGGCCCCACCCACCGCCCACCTTCAAGTTCTTAGAATGCTTTTTTGTCCTTTTTAAGAGAGATTTCTGCTATAGGGTGCGTGGGCCTGCCAAAGAGACAGAAAGTGAGACCCCCTCGGGGGTGGCCACACCGCAGTCCCTCCCCCATTCTCCTTTCCAGATCTTGGGCGGGTACGCACGCACACGCGCCAAGCTTGCGTTTCAAGGTGCTGAGTCCGGGACTTGAACCACAGTCAGCTGTGTGGGAGTCCAGCAACTTAACCACTACACCATCTGCTGGTCCCAGGGAATGCGATTTCTTAAAAACAGATTTGCTGTTTATTATATGAAAACTTGCAATGTCTCGCTGAGCCAAGGTTTAACAGTAAATATGCTCTTAGCAGTCTGTAACTTTTATTTTCACAAAGACTTTCCCTCTTTTTCTTTAGGCTAAAACCAGAAAAACTTGAGAAGGATCTGGACAGATTCTCAGAAAGTGCCAGGAGGAGAAAGGGAGCGAAGGTCGGCCTCTCGGAGTTCGCGGCCTACCTGGAGGTGCCCGTGTCCGACGCGCTGGAAGACATGTTTTCGCTGTTCGACGAGGTGAGAGCCGCCGCCCGGGTGGGGCAGGACTGAAGCGCCGATGTCCCCTAAGATGCAGGTCGTTCTGTCGCCACAGCGCAGACCCTCGGGAGCAGAGGGGAGCAGCCCGGTCGTCCCGGCGCCGTTTCCTCTGGCCTCGCAGCGTGTCTAGAATTTGGCCCTGGAGGGACCCTGTGGCTCTGGCTTTCCAGCTGGTTCCCAGCAGGCCCGGTGACGGCAGACAGCAGCACCCTGCCAGGCCCACCCTGCCGGCCGGGGCTCTGGCCAGTTTCTCAGCGGCTACCCCTGGGTGATGAGGCCACACTCCACCAGCCCAGTGCTGTGGGCGGGGGCTCCCCGAAGGCAGAGCCCACACCCCTCCTGCCTTTCACACGTCAGAGCCAGTGGTCGTCGGCCACGTGAGGACGCGGAGTACTCACCATCCTGGCTCTGAAGATGGGGAGTGGCCTCCCGGCTCAGAACCTGGGACAGCACCGGGCAGGCCCGCAGTGCGGCTCACTGGCCAGCTGGGCCAGTCCCTGCAGGCCTGCGGGCTCTGGGCACCAGATGTGTATTGGGGTCTCCCTCCCAGACGGCCCGTCAAGGGCAGCCACAGCCAGGCCTTGGCACCCAGAGTGGCCGCACAGCACTGTGGCCCCCCTAACACGGCGGCGTACAGTTTGGGGTACCACTGCAGGCTGGGCGGGCCCCTGGGAGCAGACCCTGGGGCCCAGACGCAGCTGCCAGACACATCCGGTGTCAGACCGGGGCAGGTTCCCATCCAGGCCCTTGGCAACACGTCAGGTTAGACAGGGACTCAGTACCGACCAGTGGGGACACCCAGGACGCCCCGCCAGCAGCGTGTCCCCGGGCTAGGGGCCATCCCCTCGCCCCGTTCCAGGGCACAGCAGCCTCACAAGGGGAGGGCCTCCTATCCCACCCAAGATCCCGAGCCACAGGGTCTGGGTAACACCCCTGCCTGGGCCCACGCTCCTGCCCGCAGACCCTCCCACGCCTCTGTCAGCGCTGCAGCCTGCCGACCCGTGTCCGCCCCTCCCCAGGCGCTCCTGCCTGCCCCTGCCCCGGCCCGGGCGTGCCGGTCCGTACAGCTGCTCTCCACAGGAGTGTGGCCCCACGGCCCCAGCACCCCATGTGCGGTGTCCCGGACTCTGGGAAGTAACTGACAGCTGAAGGGTGTCGGTCACAGAAACGCCCTTTCAGCGAGGCGGACGCCGCCCGGTCGACGGGCCTGACTGGAGAGTGTCTCTCCACAGACCGGCCGTGGCGAGGTGGACCTGCGGGAGTACGTGGTCGCCCTGTCCGTGGTGTGCAGGCCGTCTCAGACCCTGGCCACCATCCAGCTCGCGTTCAAGGCAAGTCATGGTACACACGTGTGGGTGCGGGACGCGGTGACCCTGGGCGTGTCGCAGGTGTGTGGCTTGCTCCGCGGCCACTCCTGCCTGAACCTGTGCCCCCTGCTACCCGTCAAGGGCCCGAGGAGCTCCTGAGCCTTCCTCCTGGGCCGTCGGGCACCTGGCAGCTGGTGGTGTTACAGGCCACCACGTGCACAGAATGTCTAACATGTAGCCCACTTGCTTCTGTCCCCAGACGGCCACCGTCAGCCCACTGGCTCACCGGGGTCAGAGTTTGGGGACTGAGGATCCTCCGCCCCAGCTTAGCCCGAGGCTACACTCCCCCGAGCCTAGTCGTTCACCACTATGTGAGACCCAGGGTCCCCACCCCGGCTCACCCCAGGCGCCCTCAGGGCTTGTCTCAATGCACACTTCAGCCTTGGGTGGGGCCGGGCCAGCTTTAAGGCCTAGGGACGCCATTTCATCAAGGCCTTTGAGGAGGTGCAACTCACATTAGCCCGACTCTCGAGGACCCGATGGGTGGCCCAGGAAGCTGCTGCCTCACTGCTGGGAGGACTTGGTTCTGCTCCCACCTGTGCACGCCTCTTCACGGCAGTGCTGACGAGCACCCCCACGGGGCGTCATCTGGACCGTGTCCCATCTGGCGCCCCCTACGTAGGAAAGCCTGGCCCGCTCCACCATCCTGGACAGGCCACCGCGGAGGCCCCAGGCCTGTGTCCAGGGTAGATTCTGGGGACATGGCACAGTGCTCAGCTGTGCCCTCCTGCACCTGCCACCGTGTCACCATGTGGGGTCTGCTGGTGCCAGGGGGCTCCGCGCGTCCCCGCCTGCACCCCAGAGCGCA